TAAAAAGGAAAGCCAGATTTTTAATACACTATGGCATTTTACTCTGATGTAATTTTACGGAATCATTTATCGATATTATGTCAGATTCTGATGTTACTAGTGTAATTTAGACTAGAATCTGGCTTACGGTATTAGCTCTGTATCTGTATTATTTAACTTTAATGTTCTGGGAGGGGGGGAAATAGTGGCAACAGATGTGGCATTAAGGAAGGAATTTAAGATACCTTCCTAGATTTCGTGTTTCTGGAATTAGAATAACTGGGAGAAAAATCCTCACTCTTCACTATAGGCATTTCTGTATTTTATTTTATGTTGCATGTACTGTGCAATAGATGCATCCATTCTTCCCCACAGATAAAGTAAACGAAGTAACCGATTTCTGGAAACTAAGTGATTTAAAAAGTTGTGATCACCTTTTTTTCCCTTCGGTGCGAGAATAATAGATGCTACTGTTGGTTAGTAAAATTGCCATTTTGAGTATAGACCTTAAAATGCTTTATACCACTAAAAAGTAATAATAGACCTATGAATTTCAACAAAAATAGTCCCAATTTTAAAATGAAAGTAAGTTTTAAATCTTTATTATGTTTACATACATGATTAAAATATTATGTTAGATGAGCAAAGGTGATCAATGAGCTTTTTTAATTAAAAGAATATCTAGTGAAACTATCTCTACCCTCGTTAAATTTATCACCACAATAACTTAATCTGACTAGAAATTTCCCTAGCTGTTAATTTGTACATACCTAAGAGCAACTCTAGGAATAAATCATTTGCTTATCCAAAATTGTCTTTTGGCTCTAAATTATTTCCATTCACACTTACGAATTACGTTTGAAAGAGCTGTCATGGTTTGGACAAATTGACAGTCTACCTCCCCAAAGAACAAGAAAATGAAGGCAATGCTGAAAAATATCTTCTTTGAAGCATCATTTGCAACAGATATATCCCTGAACTTTGAAGTTAGTGACTTATTCACTGGTCTCCAAACTACTAGCCCACGGTGTTTGAGAGACCATTCAAAACTGATATCTGGGCAAGAAACCCTATAAGACTACCACAGCGATCTGGATCAATGTTTGAATCATGAGACCATACAAGGTGAAAGTAGCAGCTCCACACAACATCATCACAACTCATTAAACTGGGGGAGCTGAAACATTATTGGCAGCAATGTCAAATGATCTGCATGAAAACAAATGGAAGGCAGCAACTTGACTTTCTGTCCACATGTCTGAGACACTATAAAGTAGGTATCCTGTGGATTGAGCATCTGTCAGGAGAGTCAAGTATGTGGTAGCTCCGTAATCCCTTGGCTTCTTCTGCTCTGTTATTATTGTACATAACTATTGAGCCTATCCTTTTCTGAGCCAGAAATGTCCTTTACTGTTGTGAACATCTCATTGTTAGGATGATGGGACATTAAGAGAACAGAGAGGAGAGAACATTTTTTACCTGAGAATTTCCTTGCTTAGACCCTTCATGTCCTAGAATCAGATTCCCACAGAAGATTATTTCTGAATAGTTGCAGAATTAATGTCCAGGTCTTCAGGCCTGTTATTGATAATGAAAGGCCCTGTTAAAAATGGAAATTAGTTTACTTTTATTTATAATTAAATATTTTGATAACAAGAAGTTTAAGTATTTTGTACCCCTGAAAACTACAATTCTGGGAAAGCATGGTGGGATGATCTTCTGCCCTCCATATGATAAAAGGCCTGGTCTGTTGCCAGCCACCTAGAAGAGAGGAGAAAATCAGTCAAACACTGTTCCAAGAAAATAAATTCTCAGGTAAAACAGATTTTCCATTCATTAATACTATATACTCAAAATGCAGTGGACAACACTAAAAGGTGGAATGGTTTGGAGGAAGACTAATTCCTAATGATCTATATCTCTGAAATGGACTCATCTGAAAAAAAATTGCATTACTGTGTGTAACTGAAAGACAATGAAACCAATCAAACAGTATTTGCAGTTTAGTGTCCTGATTTTTTTTCAAAGATGCTGAGCACTCACAATTCCCATTTATGTTAATAGAGCTGGGTTTGCTCAATACTTCTGAAAATCATGCAAAAGATTCTTGCATGTTTTTTTTCACTCTAGAGGAGATCTTTTGAGATAGAGGAGCAACTCCAAAAGGGCAAAACATTCTAGCTCAAATTTTGACTTCAGCAAAGTTACTCCAAATTTACATTTGTTTAACTGAGAACAGAATTTGGCACCAAATGGTTAGATCTCTTGCCATTGACTAAAGTAGTTAATATTTCTAAAACAATTTCTCATTTTAAATACAAAACCTCTTAGTATGGGTGCTTTATAAAAAATGTGTAATATTGATTTTATACCGAAAAAAGGCTGACCACATGAAAATGCAAAATTATCAATTTATGCCAGTGTATAGAGCAGGAACACTTCTCTACCAAGGAATGAAGTTGATCACTGAGGGCTAAATTCTGCCACCTTTACTAACATTCTGTAATAGTTTGTTCCTCATACTGCACCAATGGGGCTACTCAGCGTGAGTAAAAGTTGCAGAATCTGGCCAGGGATACAGTGCTCACTAATTAATGGCAGGGCTAGGATCACCGCCTATTAAGGTTGCCCAACACTTCCCATTATAAGTTTTCAGTTGCTTATAACTTAGCTAAACTTTAACCATTTGGTCTGAAGTTTTCCATGCTGAGTATTTGTCTTAGGCTGAATGTGTTGAAAAATTCAGCCAAAATGGTTCCACTATTTCCAAGAATGAAGCTAAGAGAAAAGTACATTGTTTTGCCCATTTAAAAAAAATTCTGATTATCATTTCTGTAAAAAGCTCTCATCCCCTTCTGTCTCCCTTCCCCCCAACCCCCATTTTGGAACAGGGATTTAAAATTTGTCAAGATGGCAGCCTCTGTGTCAGGGATGTGGCTTCTGTTGTCCCCATGAAAATCTGCCCAAATTTCACTAGTTGTAAGCTTTTAAAAAATCACAATTTGCACATGCTCAATAGAGATTAGATTTTTACAACTAAATTCCTTGAAGATTCCATGTGTATAACTATGCACCAGCCCAGGGCTGAGCAGGACTTTTTCTGCAACTGCAGTTTTGGGCTGCCACAGGCCTTGCCATATCTGGGTTTGAGCATCTGAACTTAGGAAAGAGCATTCCTTCTCTATCTGTTTTCTCAGTAACCCCCTCATTGGCCCAGGCAGCAAGGAGGATGAAGCTGCCTGGTCTAAATGCAGAGGAGACAAGAGCCAGATGTGCAGGTGAGTGGAAGGAGTAGACTGGGGGGGAGGCAAAAACTGAGATTAGAGATTGGCGAGGGGAAAGGGAGTAGAGACCGAGACAGGTTGGGAAAGGAGATTGGGACTGAAAACCAGTGGGGCAAGGGTAGGAGGTGAGGGAGAGGCATTGGTGGGGATGGAGAATTATGATTGACTGGGCGGGGAGCTCCCGGCCCCTCCCCTGCTGTCCCCTCTCCCCCATAGTCACGCCACCACGCGGGCAGCATTCTGGGCGGCGGGATTGCGTGCTCCTGCCGAGCAGCGCAGCAACATGTCTGGCTCCGACCGGGCAGCGTGGCTACCAGACATACTGCTCTGAGCAGCATGGTAAGGGAGCTGGGGCCGGGGGGTTGGATAAGGGGCAGGGGGGGTCCCAGAGGGCAGACAGGGGGCAGTTGGATGGGGCGGAGGTTCTGGGAGGGGTGTGGATAGGGGATGGGGAACGGGGTGGGGGGGTTGGATAGGCATGGAGTCCCGGGGGGGCCTGTCGGGGTGGGGGTGTGGATAGGGGTCGGGGCAGTCAGGGGACTGGGAGCAAGGTTGTTGGATAGGGGATGGGGTCCCGGGGAGCAGTTAGGGGCGGTCAGGGGACAAGGAGCAGGGGGGGTTGGATGGGTCAGGGGTTCTGAGAAGGGCAGGAAGTGGGAGGGGGCGGATAGGGGGTGGGGGCCAGGCTGTTAGGGGAGGCACAGCCTTCCTTACCCGGCCCTCCATACAGTTTTGCAACCCCAATGTGGCCCTCGGGCCAAAAAGTTTTCCCACCCCTGACTTAGATGCTTAAGCCACATGACTCCAGGAGAGGGGATCTGGTTGTGGAATGCTAGCAAAGATAGGTGCCTCCTTGCAGCCCAGACTTAAGCACCTAACTTCATGAGAGGGGAAGGGTTTAGGACATGTCCTCTTATCAGCATCTCCCATTGGCTAACTTAGGCAGCTCCCCACCAACCTTGCTGACTTTTGTGGATCGCGTTCTTAGGTGCCAGAGTAGCAGCCGTGTTAGTCTGTATCCGCAAGAAGAACAGGAGTACTTGTAGCATCTTAGAGACTAACACATTTGTTTGAGCATAAGCTTTCGTGGGCTACAGCCCACTTCATCGGATGCATGTAGTGGAAAATACAGTAGGAAGATATACATCTACACAGAGAACATGAAACAACGGGTGTTACTATATACACTATAGGGAGAGTGTTCAGTTAAGGTGAGCTTTTATCAGCAGGAGAGAAAAAAAAACCTGTAGTGGTAATGAAAATGGCCCATTTCCAGCAATTGACAAGGAGATATGAGGAACTGGGTGGGGGGGAGGCTAGAGGGGGCGCGGAAATAAGCATGGGGAAATAGTTTTACTTTGTGTAATGGTCCATCCACTCCCAGTCTTTGTTCAAGCCTAATTTAATGGTGTCCAAATTGCAAATTAATTCCAATTCAGCAGTCTCTCGTTGGAGTCTGTTTTTGAAGTTTTTTTGTTGTAATATTGCAACTTTTAGGTCTGTAATTGAGTGGCCAGGGAGATTGAAGTGTTCTCCAACTGGTTTTTGAATGTTATAATTCTTGACGTCTGATTTGTGTCCATTTATTCTTTTGCGTAGAGACTGTCCGGTTTGGCCAACGTATATGGCAGAGGGACATTGCTGGCACATATCACATTGGAAGATGTGCAGGTGAACAAGCCTCTGATAGTGTGGCTGATGTGATTAGGTCCTATGATGGTATCCCCTGAATAGATATGTGGACAGAGTTGGCAACAGGCTTTGTTGCAAGGATAGGTTCTTGGGTTAGTGTTTTTGTTGTGTGGTGTGTGGTTGCTGGTGAGTATTTGCTTCAGGTTTGGGGGCTGTCTGTAAGCAAGGACTGGCC